ATACTAGGAATGGTGTTCTAATTGAAGTACCAGTAAGAGTTTAGAGCAAAAAGATTAACCAGTTCTTAACAGGAAACACACAGCTTTCTAACAGCTGGTGAGGGAGTGGGAGGGTCAGCAGTAGCCCTCAGGCCTTCTTCTGCCAGGTAGAAAAGGGGCATTGTAGCTCGGGTGGTTCTTAACTAGGAAATGGACTGGGGAAAATGCATGGGAATGAACCATCCCCACCAGGCACCAGATGAAGTGCTAAGAGCCCCAAGAAGCTCTAGAAATGAGGCTGGAAACTGTGGGTGGGCACTCCCTAGGCTCGAGGGAACCATCAAGTACAGCGCGCAGTGGTTGGGTGTTTGAGTGAAACTGAGCTGTCCCAGCTGACTGGCATGAAACAGTGATCATGAGATCGTTCCATTGCGAAACGCAGCTGAGATGTGGTTTTGTCGCCACAGTGAAATTCAGGTAAAGGCCTACACCAGAGAGGGTGGTGAAGGATGGATCAGTTGTAATCTAGGGAACGCCTGAAAACCATGTGATGATTTTGGGCCTACCACATTTTTGTGGTTTGGGGTGTTTCCCCTCTCCTGTTCTCAAACCTAGTGTGGGCAGCAGACAAGGCGACATGGAAATGAGAGGAAAGCCCCTGATGCTGTCAGGATGGATGTCTGTACAGAAGGTGTTCTTGGGACACACAGGAGGGACAAGCCACGCGGTCACCCTTTGCAGAATAAACAGAGAACCACGACAGCCTTCTGAGGGGACTGCTCCATTGTGGGAACACCACAACGCCACTGTGCCGTCTTGGTTGCTGCTGAGTTGGCGTTAACTCAGTGCAGCAGCAGACAAAGCGGCCTGGCCTGAGCCATCTTCATCGGCATTCCGAGAGCTGAGCCGCTCTTGCAGTCATTGTGCATAATGAGTGCCTTCCGACCTAGAGGCCTCACCTTCCAGCAGCGGATTAGACTATTCTGTTGGGTCTAGAGGACTTCCATCAGCTACATTTTGGATCTACGACTCACAGGCCTTTCTTCCTAGTCCGTCTTAGTCTGAAAGCTCCCCTATAACCAGTCTACGATGGATAACCCTGCCAGTATCTGAAATACTGGTGGGCACAACTTCTAGGGTCCTCGCAACATCCAGACCA